TCTCCAGCCTGTCCAGGTCCCTTCCAACTATGCTGGAACCACAGAGTAAGTTTATCGGGCCTAGTTAAACAAGAACAGCCTTTTCATTTTCCAAAGACAGCCAAAGATCTTCTTCACAATACATAACATTAAGATCATACTTGACTCTCTTATTACATTACTTTTGTTCTCAGATTCCTGTATTACATGGCTAAATCAAAACAACATTACATTTTAGATCATTTGGTTCTGATTTAGTTTTAAATGGGCAGACCACACATCTGGGATGCTTCTTGTCTAATTTGAAAACATGAGTGAAGAACTGGGTAAAGTTTTAGTTCATGTCCTACCTATGTCCATGTATAAAAAATTTATAAATAAATAGTTCTACTGAGCATAAGAAATTATCACCTTATCAGACAAGCATTTTAAAGGCATGTCTAAAAATCAGACTACATTTCAAGGGAGAAGGAGCAGAAAGAAAAAGTGCAAATGGCAGGGACCTTTCTATAGAAAACAGGAAAGAGGATACCTGCAAGTATTTACAAATAAATTATGCCCATTCCTCTTTCAGATAAGTTCATGTTTTTCTGTGGAACTGGCAAACCAAATGTATCTCTCTCTCATCTATGATTCATTTGCTTACCTACTCTGAAAGCAGTTCTGAACTGTAAGAGAAACGGGTGAACAACTTTAAAGGATAGAATGGGGAAGGCAATCCAAACCAGCTGAAAATGATTAATTAGTTTGTGCTTTGAAGTAAATTTCTACTCCAGCACAAAAGGTGGCTTTCCTTATTAGAGATTTTTTTTTAAACTCAGTGGGATTCGAGGCATATGGCCAACAGGGTAAGAACTTAACAAAAGGGCTATTTTGTCCAGTAAAACAAGGTTACTGCAAGTTCCAAGAGACACGAGTTTCAGTTTAGTTGGGATTCTTCTTCCTTTGTGGTAAATATTATTAACTTGCAATAAGGTGTCCACTCTGGGGCATGAGGTGGGGTGGAGGGGACAGGGGGACAGCGAGGAAGTGAGTATGCAAGAAACTAGCAGGGTAAAGTTCTTATCTCATTGCTTTGTAAATAAACTCCAGAATCAAAATCCACTACAAGTTATCATTTATCCTGCCTTGCCTGTCACGGAATGCTTGCATGAACCTGTGTCATGAAACTCTCCAGTCATTTTCAGCAGAGGACTAGGGCAGTAATAGAGGGGCCCTTTCAGGGAAACACTGTACTGATTTACCAGGAAAACAGACTATCAACACCCTTTATTAGCAGATGCACTGTGTGATATAGAAGCTCTTGAGGTTAGAAACAAGTGTAAGAGCTTGGTCTAAGAACTACCGTAGAAGACCCCATGTGCCAAAGCCCGGGCACATCGGCAATGGCAGTATGATTGGCACCAGCCTGAACAGAACAGCACTGGTTTTCTGTATCTGTCAACTGAGGTTTAGATCACATAAAAGCAGCTTGGCAGCTACTTGACTGCACCCAGTGATAAGATAACCTCTTTCAGTCCACGAACTTCCCCTTGGATCACCGAGTTGCTAGTGTACAAGGACTAAAACTCTACTGCCAGATTTCAGAATTGGCTGCATCTTTAACAGCACAGATTCTCCTCCCAGGAGTAATCAACCCACACCATCCACTTGTCTTGCCAGCTTTGCAGCAGTTAAGAGCACTGAGGCCTAGTCATGCCTCTGCCTCCCTTCCATGTGCCGAAGGAAATCCACCCTTGTGCAGGGTACGGGAACGTAGCTCAAAAGGCGATGCTCTAACTTTGCCTGGCACTGGGAAGTGGAAGATGGTTTCACTGCAAGACAGGTGTTTTCCCTTACCAAAAAGGAGGATTTTAACCACCAAAGTTTTGCCTCTAGCTCAAGTGCTCACTTAGTGCTCAGCTTCAGATGGCACAATAAAAGTACCTAATGGGATAGTGTTATGCTAAATATTGCACCCTCCACGGCATTAGGACTGAATATTAAGTGAAACAATTACATTAAATCTTTAATTAGGCAATTCACAATGGATGCTACTTTGCTAGCAATTCAAACAGCTACACTTTTTTAATTTCCTATTATACACAGCAATATTACTAAGCCTAGCTTTTTTCTAAAACATCTTAAAGAATTTCCATTTTGTAGGAAATTTAATAGATACTGGCTTCTCCCATGAAAAAGAAATCCCAGGTTTTCACCAGATAATTATTGCTAAGAAATTTTCATGAAATTCATTCCTAAGTAAAATATTTTCTGGTGACAGAAGTATTTTCCTATCACTCTTCTTACAGTTTGGCATCAAACTAATTTTACAGAAACCAAAAAGCAGTTTGGACTGCAGAGGTAACTACTAATTTAACTACTAATTTTTCCCCACCTTAACAGAACATAACCTGACAATGAAAACAACAGCATCCATAACAAGAAGGATACTTTTGGGTTTTTTCCATGTCAATTACTGCATTTTAATAACCTCTGAACTTCCAATCAACTTAAGTGTTTGTTTGTGTATATAAGAGACACAGGATTCCTCCAGAAGCATGTAATTAGTTGTCCAGGCAAGGAGTTTCATGTTTCCATGGATTATTTTAAACACAACTACTTCTCACAGTGATTTTGGAATGATATTAGCTTATCACTAACATTTCAGAAAAATCAAGCCTGCATTTTTGTTGCGTGCACTATATTTGAATCAGCCTCCTTTTCAACACTGCGCAAGCTACTTTTTACTGATCCCCCAGAAGTGTCTAACCTATAACAGTACTAACATTTTTTTTAAAAAGAAAGACAAAAAACCCTGCAGTTATGCTCAAAAACTTCCAACCATTTCTCCCAGCCAGGGTGATCACAGAAAGCTTTTTTTTTTTAAAAAGCACATACACTTTAGATCAATATATGCCCAGAACCAACCTTTAATTTGGTTAAGGTATGCATATCTGCAATGAAATCCAGCACTTCCCCAACATATTGTCTCATGCATTCCATTGCTGCTGTTCCACACTAGAATATAAAAGAAGTGAGTTTAAGTAAGTACCAGATTTTGAATATGTTCATGTTTTTGTCTTTGTTTCTTGTTCCCCAGAAAACAATCTGTCTGCATCAAATTCTTTATCTTACTTTTTAGTTAGATTAATTAGGAATAGGTATTCTTTGATGTTTTAATTCCCACTGTAATATGCCCTCTTATCTGGTGATAGTATAAAATGATAGCCCAGTCACTGTAGCTTCTTCATACACCATAAAATACTCTTATCCATGACAGCAATAAAAGATTAACTAATGAAACTTTCCAGAATATCCTTGTCATGTCATCCTGAAATTTACAGTGGTCCAGAATGGAAGTCTTAAAAAGTCAGTGAGAGTTTAAAAACTAAGTACTTTAAGCAGCTGAGCATTTCTGCAAGTGCAACCGAACAGCTACAATCTTAGAAAACAAAATTCAGTCACAGGCCCAGACGCCCTTATTTTCACATTAATCATGATGAAAAAACAGTTTAAATGACTGGCTTCAGGGATTTTATATGTAAACATCACTGAAATGTAAGTGTAGTGCTTTTTTTCTTTATTTTTTTTTTTAACCCAACAAATGTTTCTGGGATATTCCTGAAGCAAAATAATTCAAAATACAGCATTCTAATGGAACTTAAGCTAGTTGCAATTTTCAAAAGGCCTACAAGGAATAACAGAAATCCTTCATGAACTGCTCCAGTTTGACCATAAAAGTGTAAGCACTGAGAAGTGACCTGTGCCGGCGCAAGAATGATCTCAAAGGAAAACAAAAGGACTCTGTGGTGCTTGTTGTATTCCCACAGTACAAACTTTCATATTTTTCACAGGGAGAAATGTGAATCTGGCCTTTGGCGACTACAAGATGTGCCCAAGATGCGCAAAGCAGTCAACAGAACAAAGCTGTCAGACTACATAAAGGCTTTGAACAGACCAGAGAACCCTGGAGAGAAGCTTTCAGAAAGTGATATGACCGACCCACTAGGTATCATATAAACTTCTGTTTACATGTTAACTGTCCGAGGTGAAGATAATGCTAGCTGAATCCAAGGGGATCTCTGAATGCCTTATTCTTAGAAGCCAAATAAAAGCAATACTTAACTTTTGAGGCTAAATGATGAAATTATCAAATTAGGTATCATTCTGAAGTTGCCAAAACCTACTGTATCCAAAGTCATAGGCTCAGGGCAAAACACTGCAGTAAAGTTCACAGGAGAAAACTACTCTTCTTTGACCTCTGTTTAACTACCTGGACTTTGAAGCACAGGAGCTGATTATCTGGGTATTCAAATGAACCAGATTTAGTTTTGATCACCAAATTATTAAGACATAATTGAGTTTTAGTGGCTGAAATTTGAAAAACTGCTAGCATTCTAATTTTAAGCAACTGACCTGGGTGCTTCTCATTTTTGTATGTTAATATCAGTCTAGAAGGTGTTGAACTATACCACCTTCTGGCTTTTGAAATGCTATGCCTGGCATAAGGGAACTGACAAGGGAACTGACAGTTACCCTTGGCAGAATCACAAACAGTAAAACAAGATCACTGGCAGCTCCATCAGCATATCCTCCATCCAGTTTCTGTGGACTAAGGATTCCACATGGGTTCTGAAATACGGAATAGTAGAATTACAAAAGATACTACACTCAGACCTATGAAAATAATGCTCAGTTGCAAAAGACTTTTTTCCAACCATCTGTTGTGTTTCATTCAAGCAGCAGAAAACCTGATTCTCTCTGATTTCTTCTGAAATGATCACTTTCCTATCATATCTTGTAACACTAAAGTTAGTCTATCTATTTAAAACAAGTATAAATTAAAATACTCCGTTGGGAGGAAAGGGGTAATTAAAGATTTGCATTTAAAAAATGACACACTTCAGAAGATATACCGGAAGGATCCCATTACGTCACCCCTAAAGCTGACAGAAACAAATATATAGGGAAACAAGTTTTTCTCAGCTTGTGAAGCAGAGCTGAGCTAATCCTCATCTGAGTGCCCAGTCACAAGCGTTGTGGAACAAGTCAAAACCTCCAATTGCGCTACTTCTTCCCATATTCACCAAGTGCATATTCAGCACCTAGGCAATTATGAGTACTGGTAATATAGCTACACTCATCAGCAGGATTAATGCCTTACACATTACCAGAAAAATACCATTAACTCCCTTCTTTAACCAGATAACCATCCAGAATGGATGCAATGGCTTGTAGCTTTCTCCCCTGCTACCATTTTGTAAGGCATTTGGCTGGTCTGTTCCCCACATTTTGACTTCTTGATCGCAGGCTCCATGTAAAGTCAGTTACACGACTAAAGACTCAGTGAAAGCCTAAGATCAGTGAAAGTCAGGGAAGCAACATTCCAACTTTAATAAAAAGGAAGAAGCATCTCAACCTCTGCCTGCAATATACCTTGCCAAGCAGAAGAGAAATGAAAAGGAAAGAACATTAAAATGAAGCAAAACAAATCAAATAAGATACATATTTTAAAAAACAAAACTAAGGGATGGAGTTTGATTCAGTACTTACTCCAGGCATAGAGGCAATCATCTGTTTATGCAAGATTGTTGACTCAGCTAGTTTTGTTCCAGCATCTGCACAAACAAACTAAGAAGAAATTAAAGACAGGTTATTTTTTTATTATTTTTGGAAGAACCTGAAGACACTAATAAGTTATTCATTACTTTATTAAAATCAGCTCAGATCTCTTCTTGCTTTTATTCATGGTAATTTGCCTTTAGAGCTCTTTTTCTTTATAAACAACCTAGTTAACTCACCATTATAAATGAGCTAATTTTAATGAAAAAAAAAATCTTACTTTAATGTGCTTAATTAACACATATGCTGTGCCGGAGTAGTTTGAAGAGTATTATATAATAAATCAGACTTCTTTATGAGCAAGAATATGTCTCTGCTATTCTGTGAATGTGTCATGTGTTCCTCTCTCATTACAGAGTAAATCATGACAGATGATGATAAGGCTGCATGCCATGTTCTTCACTGTGATATTACAACATTTGCACTCAAATTCTACAATGACAAATTACATGAACAATATTGAAGTTGAGAACATATCGGTATGGTGTGGTATAACTTCTGCATAATACAGGCCACAACACTACAAAAATGCAAGCTGTTTCTGAGAGAAGGTCAGTATAATTCTATTATAGCTGAATATCTCTATATGCTTTTCTTCTATTTTCCTTGACTTTTTTTTTCCTTCTTTTTATCTCCAAATCCCTTGTCCAAAATGTCTGATGTCCACGTCATTCAGACATGGGACCTAATACTGTTATTGAATCATCATAAGCTTCAGTAATGCACTGGACACCCTGCAGATGATTTGCTTGATCCTAAAGCTTGTGGTCCTAATATTATATTTGCACTTGAGCGATTTCTATCCATAGTGATGCAATGTAACTTTCTAAGAAGGACTACACAGGAAAGAACTGTCAAACTAAGGTCTAATCCTCCATTTTCTTTCTTGAAAATTAATACCATGCTACCTTCCCAAACTAAAGCAGATATTAACTACACAATACATTTTAAAATTGTCTGACGCATGTGTGTTAGCAGTACCCTCAATGACTGACTGGTCTTCTTGAAAATATTTCCAAATATCCTTTACAGACCTAGAATTTACTCTTAGACTTCCATGAGCTTTACCTTTTAATGACAGATTTAATCTGAACTCAGACTGCCTACCAACGAGACTTAGAAACTACTCAGCCTATGTCTTGACAAAGTGTCTGTTCTTTAGGATAAATAACAGAAAGATATACCTGAGTTTAGATTAATAATTTAATTAGGTATCCTCAGACATAGGCCTGGCTCCACTTGACTCTTCTGGTTAGAATTTATGTTACACCAGAATAAGTCAAATGGAAATAAAACAAGAACATAACTCATTTCAATTGAGAGACGGCCTGTTGCTCTTCTATTCAAACAGCTGTAATAATTACATGGGAAGCAAAAGAAAGCCTCAGGGTTATGGGCTGTATCAATCTAGTAAAGACAGTTAAGCGTTAGTTCAAACAGCAACCATGTCACTCCACTTCTCTTTTAAAAGAATCACTAATGGACAACAGTGCGCTGCTACAGACATCGTACAGTCCTCCCCATATACGTCAACAAAAACCCATTGCCAAAGACAAATGTCATTTATTTCAGACAACATTTTCTTTGAAGAACACTATAATAAGAAGCAGCAGCCAAAGCAATCTCTACTGCCCTTCTGTAAGCTTTCTACATATTTTGCACAAAGGAGTTGGGAGATATTAATTTATATGTTAAAAACAGATGACAGACTCCATTCCATTTCTGATGAATAATTAGTCCTTGTTTAGCTTATCACTCTCATCATCAGCCTGCCAGTTCCAAGGATGCTTCCTAAAGCTACAATGCAGTTTAGGATGGAGAAATCAGCAGTCAAAAGAGGATGGGGAAAGCAAACTCAAAATGAAAAATTTCTCATATTTCCAGTCCAACTCAGTGTCATTTATGTTGTCTCCCTCTACAAATACTACAACACATTAAGACGTCACTGGCAAGAGATTTAGTGCCAGCCATATGTAAAGAAAAAAGGAAAGAAAAATACCCTCACACTGCAAAGAGATGAGAAATGGGCAAATCATTGCTATGTCTCTTACTAGCAGTGTCTGCTGAGATACAGCTGCAGAATAATGGCTAAATGGGAATGTCTGCTGACTGTAGTGAATTATCTATACACCGATCTAGCTATTTTATACTTCCATTCATAATCAGAGTTTTTTTAAAATATATATTCTTATAAATATATGTAACTCTTCTTCCATTCAGTACTTAGTAGACCAGATCTTCAGAGAAACATAAACTGGAACCACAACATATACAGTGATCTACATTAATTGAAGGTCTGGCTCAAAATAAGAGTCACCTAAACAAAACAGATCAGATATACTGAACCTTAGAGCCTGACTGAACAAACAAATCCTGGTGAGAGACTAATATAATTTGAACTCAATGTAAACCCTGAAGATGTGTGCTGGTGAAATGTGAGCAGGAGAAAAGTACTGGGAAACAAACTGCTGGGTGAAGAAGCAGTTCCTATGGAAACCCATGGAACAGCAGCATGTACAGGATGGCTTTCATTTGCTAGGACAAATCAAGGAGACAGAATTTCTCTTTATCATCCAGGAAAGCTATGCAATGACTGGGGTGATCTGCTTAAAATTCTCATTCTTTGTAAAGTGGGATAAAGTTAACTCTCATCTTAGCACTAATGTCACCAGTAACACTGGTGCACCATGTAATCTGGATGAATGTAGGTGTCAAATGTACATTCCTAGGAATTCCTTTGTTAGTCAGCCCACGACTCATCTATCATTAAAGCGCTCCTAGCTCCTTTGTTATCTCAAACATTTTTGCCTGAATCCCTGTAATCTGTGCACACCGTCTGTATAGAATTTTATATACAGGATAACATGTCCATGGGGACATGACTGTCTTGGAAACTAAAACCATTTCCCCATTTCTTTTTGGTGCTGTGCTGACTCTGCTACAGCTTTATGGATTCAAAACCATACAATTTGAATTAATATTGTTGTGGCTTTGTGTGGTAAAGAGGTGAACCAATCCCTTGGTTCTGTTAATGACACCAAAGAAAATTAAAATAATCACATACATATGTGGTTTCACTAGTAGGTTTGTTAAATTACAACAGTGCTTAAGATGCGCTCAGTGGTTACCATGGTACTTAAATTCAAGAGGCTGTTGAATGATTCAGACCACATACTACTGAGGGCTGCCAATTTGCACAGTCAATGGGAGAAGTAGTCATCATGCCTCCAGTAGGCATCTCTGGCAGATGGTCTGAATGAAACCCCTGTTCTTTACCACTGACTGCATAAATCCAGAAGCTGGCTGCTTTGGATAGCAGGAAATATGAATCACTTCATCAGCCTCTGAAAGAGAGACATCATAAAAGACATTTACATCCACATTAGATGCTGTTGTGAAGGTATGAATACATCCCAAAGTGAATACTGCATATGGGAACAGTGCTAGGAGGAAAACCCAGGCAATTAGTATTTTATCTTTACGAGATAAAGATAATGTAAGAGAGAGTTTTGCTTACTGTGTCTATCAGGCGATTGACTCAATGTGAAGGCCAAGTGTTTACCAGTTAAACCCCACTGCCCAAACAGACGTGGCATGTTTGCATTCTTAAGTGAGGAACTAATGATTGACTAGACTGTGGGATTGTCACCCTCTGGGGTAGCCACAGGACTGAGCTACACAATGGAGCAATGGCGAAAAATTGCTCTATTCTTGTGCTGGTTTTAGTTGGGAATACAGTAACGCAAAAAAAGTCAGTTCAAGTCAAACACCAATGCGCAGGGTATCAAGCTGCACCACTGCACCCATAAGACAAAAAGAGGTTAGTGGCTGTTAAAAAAAAAAAAAAAAGGCAAATTTCTGCTTTTTAAATTAAAATGGTTTAAAAGAATAACCCTTTACTATCGAAAGAGAAAAACTGAAGTGTTACTCTTCCCCACCTCAACTTCTTCCCCTAACACTGATGGCATAATAATTGTTTTCAGAGTTATTCTAACTGCTCTATAATTCCCCTTGTCAGTATTATTACTCTGTCAACTGGCAACCACTTATTTACTATGAGTAATGTACCAGTACTCCAAAGCAAAGGAGCACATAGTACTCTATATGAAGCTTTGATCCCATAGTGGAAG